GCAGCTCTACCGGCCCCAAGCCATGCGGCCACGCTCCAAACCAGGAATGAAACGAGCTTGAGGTCCTGTCTTGTGATAACCAAGGGCTTTCACACTACTTTATTTATTCTCAAACAATCAGGGGCTGAAATTGAGTACGGGGAGAAGGTAATCACTGGAAAACAAATGACTCTGGGTGTCTTAACCTCTGTGCAGCCAATGGGCTCCGGCAGGAGCGTGAGGACAGAGGGGTTGGTGAAAGCCGTCGGTCGTAGGCTCATCTCCTTCACGAGGAAACTGCCTTTTTAACCTGTACAGTCACAGTACTCTGACTCCCTTTCCCTCTCTAAATGTAAGAGAATATTCATGTATTTTAGGAACGTGTGAGGAAAGGTTTGGGATTTATGTCGTGTTCAGTCCTTTTGGTCTGTGGCTGGTCTAATTTAATGTCAATGTTGGAAGCTCTAGTTTTACATACTCTTGTAAAGATGCCAAACTCTCTTGGAAGAGATCCAAATTTAACACTTGAAGAGATATTTTTTTGTATTTTACCTGAGATGCAGGGGCACAGAGGGGTAAGAGATTTAGGGTAGCTCCATGTCTAGGATACGAGGCTAGCTTTTTGCAGAGGGTTAGGAACGGTGGTTTTATATTAAAATATGAACTGGAAAACTCTTATTTAGGTACAACTTTCTTCAGGAAAAGGTTTATTGTATATGTTTGAGACTGGAGTTTAGTTAGCTAATAAAAAGAATAATAAATAAAATGACATGACTGAATTGCAGTGGAGCAAAGGGATCTGTGGTGTGCCCTTGCTGGAGGCACAGATCCCTTTGCCCCACTCTCTCTGGCAGAGTTTGGGCTTGGGGGACAAGGAATTCATGGCCAAAAAACTGACCTCGCCCACTCTCCTACCGTGGGTGAAACTAGTGTATTTTAATTCCTTTATAAAAGCTTTTCCACTGCAATATAGGATCAGTAAAGTTCTACACAGGTAAACTTCTTTAACATTTTAAATCTTTTATTTAAACATCTAAAACAGGGTAAAATGTGACTAAAATGTCGTGGTTTTTAAGTAGACTTCCAAATGCGAAACACAAAATAGCACTTTTTTTGTTTTTAGGATTTATATAGCTTTCCCCATTGCAGTCTCACCTATAGGAAAAAGAAAAAAAAGAGGAAGATTATATGAAATTTTGTTTCGTTTTGTCGGTATCTATTGGTGTTTGACACATCACTAGGTACTTTGAGAACCTGAAATTTTATAATAGCCTTAGGATTATATTTTATAAAATCCACTCTGACTATATTTTAAAACATAACAAGAATTATCCCCTTCCCCCCAAAACATCCATCACTGTCTGTGTGTCCCAGCTGGCATCCTCCCCTCCCTCCCCTGGTTTCTGGTGCACTATACTTGACTTATGGAAGCTTTCTCTAGTAACTTTTTGCTATCTCCTGGTTTCTTTTGGTAAGAGCTTTAGAAGAGTTTCTACCCCCTTTGTATGACCACCTGGTTGTTTTTGTACCATCACCTGTCGGTGTCCCACGTGCTGGAGGGTTTGGCTGTCCTGGGCTGCTCCCAGAGGATGCAGTCAGCACTCAAATACTGGAAGGCTGGTACTGGCAAGGTACCGTGGCTCTTGTACATAATGTCATGACATGTCTATGTCAAAGGTTCTTATATATTTCTTTTATAAGCTGAAAGAAGGTCTATTTTTATGTTTTTAGTTCTATGAATGGAACGTTGTAAATGCCTGTCGGAAATAAAATACTGGAGGAAAAAAGAACCAAAAATAGCTGCAGAGAGTGGTGTGTGGAGAGGTCACAGGAGGGCTGTGAGGTGGGAAGGGTGGTACCAGGGAGGAGGTCCTGCATTCCCAGCTGGAAAGGAGCCCCCAGGTAAGGCTCTGCTCGTGTTGTGGTGAGGGGACAATTCCCATCTCCCTTATGGCACCCACACACAGCCATTCCTGCTGCTTCCAGCTTGGGAATGAGCCCCCAGGTAAGAGGGGACAATTCCCATTTCCCCTATGGCATCCACAACCAGCCATTCCTGCTGCTTTTACAGCTCAGGAAGGAGCCCCCAGGTAAGGCTCTGCTCGTGTTGTGGTGAGGGGACAGTTCCCATTTCCCCTATGGCATCCACAACCAGCCATTCCTGCTGCATTCCCAGCTGGAAAGGAGCCCCCAGGTAAGGCTCTGCTCGTGCTGTGGTGAGGGGACCATTCCCATTTCCCTCATGGCATCCATAACCAGCCATTCCTGCTGCTTTTACAGCTCAGGAAGGAGCCCCCAGGTAAGGCTCTGCTCGTGTTGTGGTGAGGGGACAATTCCCATCTCCCTTATGGCACCCACATACAGCCATTCCTGCTGCTTTTCCAGCTTGGGAAGGAATACCCAGGTAAGGCTCTGCTCGTACTGTGGTGAGGGGACCATTCCCATCTCCCTCATGGCATCCATAACCAGCTGCTTTTCCAGGCTGGTCACAAGGAACCTTAAAGTGAGTGTTGCAAAGAAAAAGGTAAAAAGCAGCAAATTCCAGAAAAATTCCAATTGCATTGGAGGAGCTCCCCAGTCTCTCCATGGCCAGTTCCTTGGCCAGTCCCTCTCCCTTTGGGGTGCTGGGTTTGGCCCAGATTTGGGGAGTGCGGTGTGGGTTGGTGTTGGCACAGCAGTGGGCGAGCATGGGCACCCACGGGTGGCACTCTCTGGGGCATGACACAGAGGAAATGGCATCAAAGTGGGCTGGGGTGTGTGCAGCAATTCCTACAGCATGCCTTGCTGCAATGCAGTGTTTGCTGCTTCAGCAGGATTATTTTTGGCTTGTGAGGCTGCCAGGCCTATCCAAACTCCTCAGGAAATCGGGGAAATGGTGAGAAGACAGTGAGGGCCTGGAGAAGAAAGCAGCACACAAGAGGTGACAAGTGACACGGGCATGCCAGCTCCACAGCTGGAATGCTTTGGCTTTAAAGCCCTGTGCTGCCACCAGCCAGAAACAGAGGACCAGAGAGGGAATTGCTCCTGCAGCTCCCTGTGCAGCTTGGAGAGGTGAGCAGCAGTTCCTTGTTTTTGTGCCAGGCCAGACCCGGGTGTCCCCTGTGGCAGAGGGCTGTGCCAGGTCCCAGCTGGCAGGGTCAGTTAATTGATGTCCCCTCTGCCATCACAGCTTGGCCCAGCAGCCAGGTGCTCTGCTTCTGGGGAAAACACTGCTTGAAACAAAAGGAAACCATTCGAAATATCACGCTGAAAAATAAAGAGGGCTTGAAATTAATTAATGTTGCAGGGAACAGATCAAAGGCAGAAACTGGGATCCATAAAGCTGCAGAGGGGTGTGAATAGAATACTAAATATGTTCTAGGCTGCCCATGGATGGAGGGCCGGTTCTGCATCAATCTGGGGTGCTCAGATTGTGACATTTTGCCTGTGGGCACAATGCTGGGGAGATGGGGGGAGCCCCAGAGAGGGACCCAGGCTGTTGTGGACCAGCTGGAACCCCAGAGAGAGACACAGAGAGGGCCCAGCTGTGCCCAGGCCCCAGGAGCTTCTGGTGCTGCATTTGGAACCCAATGCCCAGCCCTGGATCCAGCTGCTTTTTCCTTCAGTTCCTGGAGAAAAACCTGCTCTGCTGCCTTCTGGTTGGTCCAGCAGGAATTGTTGCTCTCAGTTTCCTCCCGGGGAGCCTGGAGGCTCCTCTGGCTGCACGGGGTTGGGGTTGGGGTTGGGGTCAGGATTAGGGTTAGGATTAGGGTTGGTGTAAGGATCAGGGTCCCCCAGATGTGCTGAAGGCTTTTCCTCACTCATCAGAGCTGACACCCCCAGCACAGCACCCCGGGATTTCTGAGCGTTCCCGGTGATTCCTGCTGGGCTGGAGCGGTCCCTGCTGTGCCCGTGAGTGCAGTGACACTGCCAGGGTCAGAGTGACCACTGCCAGGGCCGGAGTGACCATTTCCATGTTCACTGTCAGGACCAGAGTGACCATTGCTGCCTGGTGCCGATGCTCTCCCTCTCTCTCCCCCAGGTAACTCCGGCATTCGGTGCCGATGCTCTCCGTCTCTCTCCCAGGTAAATCCAGGATTCGGTGCCGATGCTCTTTCTCTCTCTCTCCCCCAGGTAACTCCGGCATTCGGTGCCGATGCTCTCCCTCTCTCTCTCCAGGTAAATCCGGGAGTCGGTGCCGATGCTCTCCGTCTCTCTCCAGGTAAATCCAGGATTCGGTGCCGATGCTCTCCGTCTCTCTCCCAGGTAAATCCGGGATTCGGTGCCGATGCTCTCCCTCTCTCTCTCCCCCAGGTAAATCCAGGATTCGGTGCCGATGCTCTCCCAGGTAAATCCCGGATTCCTGCTCCGTTCCAGCCGCGGCCGGCGGGTGTCCCCCTTGCTCCGCAGATCCCGCCCGGCTCCTGGACAATCCCGGAGCAATCCCAGCGCTTTCCGCCCCTACCCAGAC